AGAAGGTCTAGGCCTGAAACATCAGCCTTCCTGCTCCTCTGATGCTGCTTGGCCTGCTGTGTTCATCCAGCTCTACACCTTGTAATCTATGCTTAAACTCTGTGCTGTGTTTGGGTTCTTAGAGATCGTGTACCCTATGACAAAAGATATAGTAGCAACACACTGGGATTACATTTCTTGTCTACAAAATCTGGTGACACTCCCTGTAACATTGTTGTCCCTAATCTCTTCCTATGAAGATTATACTTCACTTTCAGTCTTAACTCTCAGGCCTAATACAATCAAATATACTTTACACTGTTACTCCCCCACCTTGCTCTCATCCCTATAGTTTCCACATGACCAGTTGTCTCTGCATCTCATACTGTAAGGCTGTATTTCTGACTATTGCCAGGAATTGGCTTTGAATTCATTGTTTTAAGTAAATGGGTCAAAATTGATTTAAACAACCAGAAGTCCTTTCCCCATTGTAGCTGCGAATGTACAAGCAGAATTTCCAAAAAGAGATTTTTCTGCTATTTGAAGCACTTTCATCGTAACTGCCAATAAATGTCATACAGTTACACTTGAAGCTTGTTACTGGGGGATTTGCATTGTTAAACCCTTCTGTTTGAGAATATGTATTTCTGGTGTATTTTGGGATCCCAGCAAAATACAGGGTTGACATTATAGCACTTAGGAAACTATTGCAGGAATGCTTAAGGTCAACACAGCTTTGAAAAAGTTAAAGCAAATTGTTTTTTGAATAACTGTGCATCTAAATGCATTCACTAAATTTACATTTATAGTAAAGTATCAAAAGAAATGAATGCTAACCAAGCATGGTTATTAAATCATTTAAAAAAATCAATTTCTTTCCATATATGAGTAACTAAAATGTGAAGAAAATCACACTGCTTTCAGAATGTGATTAAACTTGACAAAACTGTCTTTTATGTGCTTGAGGAGCTACGTTATAGTTTTACATGAAGGCTTTAGCGTCTCAATGAAACCTAGTATTGAAGTTTATATTCTGACTTCAAGCTCTCGCTTTCCTGGCTTCAGGGAATTCGACGGCTTGAGTGTGCATGGCATGTCCAATCTCTCATCGTGTGTCAGTAAAATCTTCTCACTACTGTTTTTCTTGTGACATAATAGCTGACTGTACTGCCAGCAAATAATTCCAAATGGACTGGAGAAGAACTCTTAATCAGGTAATATTTACTTTGTTTACTATGACTGGTATATTAAACTGCACAAGTTTTACTTCGAAGACTGGTGAGAGGTAGGCACAAATAGGAAAATCCTCTCTTACTTAGGATGTTGCATAAGGAAGTTACTTTACTTAGTGGAAAGCATTTCTTTCCCTTTCATTTTGAGTTCATTGTCATTAAGAATCAATCAAACAGATTAAATCAGGTGATGTCTAAGACAAAGATATAGATCATCAGTAATTACAAATCTTGAAATTGCCTTACAATGTGATGAGATCCCATCCCTTTGTGTATTCCTGACTTCAACGTCAACCCTAATGCTTTCAAGTTCTAGGATCTATCCGCCACTACTAATGTCAAAAATATCCAGTAAACGAACACAAATATTCCACTCTCCAAACCCTTAGATTCCTCTCCACAGTATTACGACAGTAAATCTCAGTTGTTGTTAGAAATCCAGGTACACCTCCTGCCCACTACTGCTAAGCTCCATGCAAATTAACCTACATTCTGCTACATGACTGCAAAGTTTTAAAAAAGGTAAAATGCAGAGTTAAGTGTATAGTTAATTGAACACATACTAAGCATCAAGGTCATTCATTTGTAATTTTCAGAAATACAGATCATGGAATGTGACGACCAAAACACGGGTCGAAAATCCACAATGTTAAATAATTAAAGCAGAATTAATCACCATAAATCAGTGCCTTGATAATAAATAATGTGATAAAGCAGTGCTCTACCCACTCACTGTAGGATCATATAATCACAGAATAGAATCCCTACAGTGTGGAAACGGGCCTTTTGGCCCATCAAGTACACAATGACGCTCCGAAACAGCATCCCACCCAGACCCATCTCCATACCCCTTTTCCCTGTAACCCACTTAATCTGCACAACCCTGAACACCATGGGCAATTTAGCATGGCCAATCCACCTAATCCGCACATCTTTAGACTGTGGGAGGAAACCAGAGCACCTGCCGAAAATCCACGCAGACAGGGGGACTGTGCAAACTGCACACAGACAGTTGCCCGAGGGTGGAATTGAACCCGGGTCCTCGGCGCTGTGAGGCAGCAGTGCTAACTACTGAGCCACCGTGTTGCCCCTTAATGGTGATTAGACTGAGAACAACTGAAGTTCTTTATAGTAATAGAAAAGGCCATGCATTAATTACTTACAGGTCCTGTGTCTTTTTAATAAAAGCATTTTATCTAGTTATCATTAGCCATATCATAGCTCTGTGTCCGAGTCTTTTCATCAATCTCAACCATTTTGAGCATATTGAACAACCGTTTGTAAAAATAATAACTTCCAATTTCTTTGGTTTTAAACGATTTCATTACACTTACTTGGCAGTTGACTCCTCATCGTATTTTGTTTTCAAATCAAATAGTTCAGTTTGAGTTGATTCCAGGGCTGCAAAAGAAAAACAGTTTCAACAAGAGCCAAGAGTGGAACAGTTTAAAGAATATTTTTCAGCGGATCGTGTAGATAAATGCTTAGTAAATCTAGATGTTGTGAGTTCTGAAGAAGGATAACTGGACTCAAAATTTGACTTTTTTTAAAATCCACAAATACTGCTAGACCGTCCTCGGTTCTCCACTAATTTCAGTTTTTGTTTGTTCTAGATCTTCTGAAGTTGTTTGAAGTCACATTTGTCAAGTAGTATAATGAATATTATGGAATGAGCAGTTGATGGAATTTAAGGAGAAGGCTGCCTCAAGGTGCAGGAGTAAGAGGGCCTAAACAAACCAACATAAGAATAAACTTGCATGTTTTCCACAACTTGAAGGAGTAACTCACACTATTTTTAAGTTTGTAAATAGCTAAATAAACAATAAATTGCTTGTAGATATTATGTCATCTGCAAATTTGACTATAGTACATTTGCTTCCTTCCTGTATGTCACTAATATATCTTGTAAGCAGTTGCGGTCTCAGCACTGAACCCCACTGGTCACAGGTTGCCAACCTGATAAGAAACCCTCATCACCACTCATTGTTTCCTGCCCATGAGCCAATTCCCTATCCACACCAATGTACTACCTCCAATACAGTGAGTTCTTATCCTATGACAACCTTTTGTGAGATAGCCTTGTTGAACGCCTTCTGGAAGTCCAAATTTAACACATCTACTTGTTTGCCTCTATCCACTCTGGTTGAGACTTCCTTAAAAATTCAAATAAGTTAATCAGAGACGAAATCCTTTTCATGAAGCCATGCTATGCTTGTTGGGGTTATGATTTTCAATAGGGGTATAACATTGGCAGTTTTCCAATCCTCTGGTACTTCTCTAGAATCCAAGGATTTTTGGAAAATTAAACCAATGCATCCTTTATCTCTGTGGCTACCTCTTTTAGGATCCTAAGATGCAAGCCATCATAGAATCCCTAACATGGAAGCAAGCAACCCACTGAGTTTACACTGACTCTCCAAAGAATATCCCACCCAGATTCACCCTCTCATCCTATCCCTGAAACCCTGCATTTCCCATGGCTAACCCACCTAGCATGGACATCCCTGGACACTGTGGGAAATTTAGCCAGGCCAATCCACCTAACTGCACATCTTTGGACTGTTGGAGGAAACCGGAGCATCCAGAGGAAACCCATGCTGACATGCAGAGAATCTGCAAACTCTACACAAACAGTTGCCCGAGGGTGGAATCAAACACGAGTCCCTAGCGCGGTGATGCAACAGTGCTAATCCACTGAGCCACCGTGTTGCCAGGGGACTGATCTGCCTTTAAACCCGTTAGTTTGTTTAATACTATTTCTCTTGTGATGGTACTTAATTCCTCTCCTGTATTCTTTAGTATTAATGGGATATTTGAAGTATCTTCCACTGGAAAGACTGATGCAAAATATCTGTTTAATTCCTTTGTCAGTTCATTGTTCCCCACAACTATCTCCCCAGATTCATTTTCTAAGGAGTCTATTTCACTATGACCTCTCTTTTTTGTATACTTGAAGAAGCTCCTCACTAGTTTGCTCTCATGGTTTATTTTCTTTGTCTTAATTATCTTTTTAGCCCTCCTTCCCCAAGATTCTGAATTTATCCCAGTCTTCAGGGCTATCACTGGACTTTTGTTATATGCTTTTTCTTTCAACTTCATACTCTCCTTAACTTCCTTGGTTAGCAATGGTTGGATTATCCCTCTTATAGGATCTTTCCTCCTTAGTGAGACATACTTTTGCAGAGAGTCATAAATTACCTCCTTAAATGTCACTGCTTGGTTATTGTCATTCTTGCTAATCTATCCACCCAGTTCATTTTAGCTAACTCTACCTCATTTCTTTGCAATTCCCCTTATTTGAGTTAAGCACGGTGTTTCCAACTGACTTACTCATAAACTGAATATTAAATTCCATCATCTTACGATCAGTACTTTCTAGGGGATATTTTGCTCTGAGTTAGCATATTTAGCATATGTTTTAGAAGACACATTTCAAAGGCCTCTATTTTCAAAGGCTGACAGGAAAGAACGCAAGTTTTGCTGGATTTTTCTTGATCCAATGTTGAGTTTTCTTGTTGTTAGCATGTCTTTCATCTTCACAAAATTACTTTTGGCTACTGCTTTCCTTCTTCTAACTTCCGATTCACATTTGTCATCTTCGCTTATCATCTGTCCAGAATAGACAAATCTATTTGTTTCAGTGTGTGTTTATCCATTTCAATCTACACTCTAGTTTCTTTTGATGTATTCCTTCAAACAACCATGGTTTTTGTCTTTTTGGTGTTCATGTTCAATCTGTATTCTAAACCTTTAAATTTTACTTGATCTATGCACTATAATCATCAAATTATACAACGTTTCTTTTAATTTCATATTGTCTTTAACTCCCTTACTTAGCCAAAGACGAAGCAAAGTCTTTCTTTCTCACTAGGATAAATCATTGCTTTAAATTATTAAATACCTCCTTAAAAGCACGCCACTGCACGTCCACTGTGTTATCTTTTAAGCCAGTTTCCCAGTTCAGTTCAGCTATCTGTGCCTTCATGCTGTTGCAGTTACATTTATTTAGATTTAAAACACCAGTTTTAGAATCAAACTTCTCTCTTCAAACTGAATGTGAAATTCTACCATATTATGATCACTGTTGCCTAGATGTTCCTTTCCTATTCAAAATATCAGGAACAGAATATCAATGGTGGCAGAAGCATCATATACAGAGTACCAGAGACCCATATTCACTTATCCTCAGAGACATTCTGGATTGGGTACAAGTTGTTCTTGAAGAATAACATCCTTAATATATAGCAGCAAATCCATAACAAGGCAATAAATGTGTGAGCAAATCAATACGCTATTGAAATGATGTGCAAAATGAAGTTCCTAGTGCAAGCTTGTGGATATACCTACACCAAATGGATGCAGTTCAAGAAGACAACAGACCACCACCTTCTTGACAGCAATTAGGGATGGGCAAGAAATGCTAGCACACACCATCGAAGTCCATATCCATGAATGCTTTTTAACAAGTTGTATAAAATAACTATTTTGCCCAGTTATATTTTACTGCACTTTCCAATTGTTCATTCTACTAGAAATTGTAGCATGTTGTTGTTAATACTCTTAATCTTTTACGTTTTGTAAATAATTTATATATCTATGTGAAAACATTTTAATATATTCAACACTTCGCTGTACTGTTCTGTTTTATGTTAATTTGGAATGTGCATATACCACGCAAACAGTCAGACACATGCAGTCCTGACCACAGGATCAAAATCGTTCTCCTACCTGTCTGTAAAACTTGAACTTTGTGATCAGCCTCCTCAAATTTGGAGGCCAAGGATGTTTGAGTCTCTTGTAATTTCCTGCAAGATAAATGAAATATTAAGAGAATGGTCAAAAAAGTCCAGAATTGATGCAACTTCAATAAGCAAACACATCTTGTATACAAGCACGGCTATGGCTTCATTGAGACCTTCCACATTATTATTTTAATTTATCCTCTAAGATCCTTCATAGTTTCATGTATCATAGGATAAACATTTTCATTTTGTTTTGCTTTTTAACCACCTTTGACAATAATTGCACTTCAAAGCCATTATAGCTGAAATTATTTCCACCTTCTTTTAACTTCACTGTTCAAAATTCCATTACAAAAGTATTGATACTGTAATCAAAAATAAAATTGTAAGCACATAACAGAATGACATAACCAGCAGTGAAAGACATCAGTACTGTAATCCAGCAGGTCATTGAGGAACCAGGAATAAATACTCTGCACTGGTCTTCACAGTAAAAGGCACTAATAGCGTTCCAAAATTGCTAAATAATCAAGGGGCAAAAGGAGGACAGGAAATAAATACAATAACTATCACTAGAGAAAAAGTGCTAGGGAATTTTTCTTTTTTTATTCATTCACAGGATGAGGGCATTGCTGGCTAGGCCAGCACTTACTGCCCAGACGGCAGTTTGGAGTCAACCACATTGCTCTGGGTCTGGAATCACATGTAGGCCAGACCAAGTAAGGATGGCAGTTTCCTTCCGTAAAGGACATCACTGAACCAGATGGGCTTTTCCAACAATCGACTAATAGAGCTAAAAAGACTGATAAGTGCCCTTATGAAATGCAGTGTGCATGACATAGCTACAGAGGTAGTAGCTGCATTGGTAGTAATCTAAGATTCTTTAGATTCTGGAAAACACAGAAACATAGAAAAAAAAGGAGCAGGAATAAGCCATTTGGCCCTTTGAGCCTGCTTCGCCATTCAATAGGATCACGGCTGATCATCAAACTCAAAACACTGTTCCCATTTTCTCCCTGTGCCTTTTGATTCCTTTTAGCACTAAGAACCATATATAACTCCTTCTTGAAAACATTTGACCTCAACTGTTTTGTATGGCCGAGAATTCCACAGGCTCACCATTCTCTGGGTGTATAAAATTTTTCATCTCAGTCCTAAATGGTCTACCCCATATCCTTAGACTGTGATCCCTGGTTCTGGACCTCCCAGTCATCGGGAACACCCTTCCCTGCATTTACCATGTCTAGTCATGTTAGAACTTTATAGATTTCGGTGAGACTTCCCCCCCATGCCATTCCTCTAACTCCAGTGAACATTGTCCTAACCGATTCAGTCCCTCGTCATATGCCAGTACCGTCATCCCTGGAATCAGTCTGGTAAACCTTCGCAGCACTCCTTCCATTGCCAGAAAATTCCTCCCCAGATAAGTAAATCAAAACTGCGTAGAATACTCAAGATGTGATCTCACTAACGCCCCGTACAATGGCAGCAAGACATCCCGGTTTCTGTACTTGTATCCTCCCACTATGAAGGCCGAAAAAACATTTGCCTTGTTTACCGCTTGTCAAATCTGCATACTTAATTTCAGCGACTGGTGTGGAAGGACACACGCCTTGTTGCACCTCCCACTTTCTTGATCTATCACCATTCAGATAATAATCCACCTTTCTGTTTTTGTGACCAAAGTGGATAACCTCACTTCATCTTCCATGCATTTGTCAACTCACTCAACTTATCCAAATCACACTGAAGCATCTCCATATCCATCTCACAGCTCACGCTCCCACCTAGCTTTTTGTCATCTGCAAAAGCGGAGATATTACATTTGGTTCCCTCATCTAACCATTAATGTATGTTGTGAACAGCTGGGACCCAAGGACTGGTCTCTGTAGTATCCCACTATCTGCCACTCGGGAAAAGAGGTGTTTATTGTTATGCTCTGTTTCCTGTCTGCCGACCAGTTCTGTATTCATGTCAGTACACTACTCCCAATCCAATGTGCTTAAAATTTACATGCTAATCTCTTTTGTAGGACCTTATTGAAAGTCTTCTGAAAACCCAACTAAACCACATCCACTGGCATGTCCTCAACTCTGCTAGTTACATCCTTGAGAAATTCCAGTAGATGTGTCAAACAGCACGTGATGGCTCATTGGGATTTTAACCTGAGACCTGCCAAATCTGCTTTTACTAGACACTCTGAGGAGACAATTATACGTCTAGAATAACCAGAAATGTCCCAGAGAATTGGTGCAGTTATACAGGGCCTTAGTGAGGCCACACCTCGAGTATTGTGTGCAGTTTTGGTCTCCTGGTGTGAGGAAGAACATTTTTGCTACTGAGAGAGTTCAGCGAATGCTCACCAGACTGACTCCCGGGATGATAGGACTGACATATGAAGAAAGGCTGCATCCACTGAGCTTGTACTCACTCGAATTTAAAAGAATGAGGGGGGGAAATCGCATAGAAACATATAAAATCCTGATGGGACTGAACAGGCTAGATGCAGGAAGAATGTTCCCGATGTTGGGGAAGTGCAGAACTAGGGGTCACAATCTAAGAATAAGGGGTTAGCCATTCTGGACTGAGAGGAGGAAGAATTTCTTCACTCAGACAGGTGTGAACCTATGGAATTCTTTACTTCAGAAAGCTGAGGAGGCCAGTTTGTTAGATATATTCAAGACAGAGCTGGACTTGGTCCTTGCAGCTAAAGGGATCAAGGGGTTTGGAGAGTTAGTAGGAGTTGGATTCTGAAATTGTACGATCAGCCATGATCATATTGAATGGTGGTGCAGGCTCGAAGGGCTGAATGACCTAATCCTGTGCTATTTTCTACGTTTCTAAAACTGCTAATGTAATACCTTTATTTTAATTGGGAAGAAGGCAAAAAGAAAGGTAACCATAGGCCAGTTAGCTTAACGTCTGTTATTGGGAAAATGTTAGAGCGTATTATGAAAGATGTAATAGCACAGCATTTAGAAATGCCTAGAATGATAAGCAGAGTCAGCATGGCTTCACCAGGGGGAAATCACGCATGAAAAATTGATGAAAATACTCAGAGGAAATAACAAGCAGAAGAGATATGAAGGTAGTAGTAGATGTAACATATTTGGATTTTCAGAAGACATTTCATAAAAACGTATGATTCCTTAATCAATATGGGAATCAAGGGTTTTGGCCAAAAGCAGGAAAATGGAGTTGATGATTTTTAGATCAGTCATGATCTCACTGCGTGTTGTAATAGACTTTATGAGCTGAATAGCGTGCTTCTGCTCCCACGCCTTAAGGTGCTAAAGATGCTGCATTGTTCCTATAAATTTGTTCCTTTACAACAAACAGGAGGATAAAGCCTCTTAAAACATTCTGGCAGGATTATCTCCATATATAAAGACTGCAGAGCATTTCACCTCACAACTGCTGTTTTCCCTTTTACACTTGACAAAGAATTACTCCCGACTTTCAAAACAAATCCAGACCCAACAGAGGTGCCATGGAGCACAAATTGCACAGAAGAACAAATACTACTGGGACTAAAGGTCAACTGTTTTCTGAAAGAAAGAATTATACTATTTTAAGTATATTATTTTACTCTTTCCATTCTTTAATTCATTGTGCTTTTGAATATTAGTAAGGAGTATTTTGAAGTTAAAACTACATCTATACTTTTCTAAATACTAGTTGGGAGTGAACCAAAGTTTTACGCTGCAATAGTATTTCCCTCCTATTGGAGCAGCAGGCTGTGATTTCTGCTGCACAATCGAAAAGTCACAATAGAAGGCAGTTCATGTAAATCTTCCTGATTTTCACATCCCAGTTTTTAAGTAAAGAAAATAACGCCAAGATAAAAGAGGCAAAATCAAACACTGTACAGCACTTAATTATCACAACAGATATAAACACACAACTGCAAGCCAGACAAAACAAAGACTCCAACGCTTTATGTAAAAGTAGCTGTACCGTTTCAACTCCATTGCCAACTAAATCTAGAAACTATTATTTTGTGTTGTGGGATGCCCTGAAACTACAGCTGGGATGTGGAGATTTGGGTACAGAGTAATTGATGTAGCTGTGGGCCTAACCAAGGGCATGACAGCAACAGTTGCCCCAAATTTATGGAAACTTTTACTATGGTAACACCTAAAGCTGCAGAAAGGAATGGTGAAGCCTATTTACTGATTTTTTTTTGGCAAGTAAAGTAAATGGTCACACGCAATACAATGAGAACCAAATACGCAAGCAGCCTATTGCATAATTCTCACAGAACAATTATTGGTAATGTCCAGCTGCAGCACCAGTGAACAAAACAGCCTAAAATAAACTGAGAAGAACTGCTAGAAGGACTAAATTCAAGAATACATTTATTTCAATGGACGTATGAATAGTATACTGACATTAGTCCTTACTTTCAAACTACTCTATGATAGCAATATATCATTGAGTACAATGTGTGCCCTTCACAAAGTCCTCATTTACTGAATTCTAACCGATGGAATTGGCTGATGAACATGTCCCTAATGTTTGATAACCTTAGTCTGGGGGAGGAATGTGAAATCATAGATTTTCCCCTACTGTCTTTGGATGGGGATATCACTGACATTCAATACTACACATCAGCACCAAGAGCTAATGTTATTCGAGTAGCAAACATTAAGGAAATTAAATCTGGTCACACAATCCACATCCCTTATGTTTTTTTAGTACATCATAGAGTGATGTGTTAATACAGTATTCTTACATCAAACAAATGATGCTGTCTTCAGAACAAAATCATCAGCCTCTTTGACAAGCAACATAAGAACAAATGTAATCACAAAAGCAAGTTGAGTTACAAGTCTGGCTGCAACAATATTCTGACAGTATGTTCGATTATGGTGATTATTTGGCAACCACATTCAACTCCAGAATCAAGTCTGATTAAATATTTCTCAGAACTACCTTTACAGCTGCAGCATCCACATGCAGACATGTTTCATCAGTTTTTTAACTAAACCATTCAGTGACACGTTACACATAGTGTGAGGTGCATCACGTACATATTATGGAGTAAAAACAGATAGCCCTACTTCAGCCAGTCAATGGTCACAAAAATATGAAAATAATTGGGGAAACAGCTTTTTCATCTGATGAATTCCTGAACCAGAAACTGGAAATGCCTGCTTACAACAGAATAAACTTTTTAAAAAAAATTGTGCAAAAAATGAAACGTAAAAGGAGATAACAAGAGGAGCAGGAAGGCTGACGTTTCGGGCCTAGACCCTTCTTCCTGCTCCTCTGATGCTGCTTGGCCTGCTGTGTTCATCCAGCTCTACACCTTGTTATCTCAGGTTCTCCAGCATCTGCAGTTCCTACTGTCAAATGTAAAAGGAGGCACCTTTTACAATTCACTCACCTTTCTTTTTCCGTGAAGTCATTCTGTAATTTCTGCTCTTTTTCAAGTGCAAGGCTTTCTGCTCTGCTGCTCAAGGTCTGCTCGTACTCTTTGATTTTTTCTTTAAGTGCTTTTATTGTAACCTCTGTAAAACAACAAGAGTTTACACAGCTATTGTGCAGTTCTACATGAAGAGCTTTCCTGCACTCTGAAACCGTGCCATGATTTAAACTGTAACTTTACAAACCTGACATATAATCAATTGATACTAGTCTCTTTGGAGTTCCATTATTCCTTAAATGTTAAATTGAACTTCAAATGCTTAGGTTGTGAAGGATCAATAGAGTTTACTTTAGAGAATACTCTAGGCCCTCTGAAATGACTCAGAAAATCAATGTCAAAATATTATATCACTTTATTGACTAGACTCAAATTAGCTTCTGTTCATCAAAGATCGCAAAAGCCATTTATAACTTTAGGCCTAGGAAGCCAATCAAAATAGTCAATGACAAAAGTATCACAAAATAGTTACAAGTCCTGAAGAAGGCCATTCAGCTGATAAGTCTGGAACAGCTCTCCACGAGAGAAATTCAGCTAATCCCATTCCCCAGCCTTCCTCTATAACTCTACACGTTTTATTTTCAGGTCATCATAGAATTCTCGCTCGAAAGAAACAAGTGAATCGATGTTTGTCATGCTTTCCGGCAGTGCATTCAAGATACTAATCACTCATTGCAAGAACAAGTCTTCTCATGGTACCATTGGTTCTTTTGCCATTCAATTTGAATCAGTGTCATCTGGTTCTAAAACCTTTCAGCAATGGGGACAGTTTTTTCCTAAGTACAAAAAACAAAGAATAATACAGCACAGGAACAGGCCCTTTTGGCCCTCCAAAACTGCGCCAACACATTTTGCCCTTCCACACTAAAACTGTCTTCACTTACAAGATCTGCATCACTCTATTCCCTTCCTATTGATATATTTGTTCAGGTGCTTCTTGAATGCTGCTGTTGTGTCTGCTTCCACCGCCTCCTCTGGCAGCATGTTCCAGGCACTTTGTGTAAAAAAAAACTTGCCTCGCACATCTCTTTTAAACTGCATTGACCCTCCCCAACCCCATTGTAACTGACCCCTCCACCCTGGGAAAAAGCCTCATACTTTCTACTCTATCCATGCCATTCACAATTTTATAAACTTCTATCAGGTCACCCCTCAACTCCTATGTTCCAATGAAAACAAACTCAGTCTATCCAACCTTTCTTCATAACTAAAATCCCCCTTACCATGTAACATACTGATAAACCTTTTCTGTACCCTCTTCAAAGCATCCACATCCTTCTGGTAGTGTGATGACCAGAACTGTACGCCATATTCCAAGTATGGCCTAACTAAAGTACTATAAAGCTACAGCATAACTTGCCTATTCTTATACTCAATGCCCTCTTCAATGAAGACAAGCATGCCGTAGGCCTTTTTTTTAAACTACCTTCTCTACCTGTGTTGCCACCTTCAGTGATCAGTGGACCTGAACACCCAGATCCTTCTGCATATCAATACTCCTCAGAGTTCTGCCTTTCATTGTATAACTTCCGCTTGTACTTGATATTCCAAAATGCATCACCTCACATGTGTCTGGATTTGTCTGCCATTTTTCTGCCCATGCCTCCAACTGATCTACATCCTGTTGCATCCTCTGACAGTCGTCCTCACTGTCCGCAACTCCACCAATCTTTGCATCTCCTGCAAACTTACTAATGAGAACAGCCATGTTTTTGTCCAAATCATTTATGTAAACCACAAACAACAGAGATCCCATCACTGATCAATGTGGAACACAACTAGTCACAACCCTCCATACCGAAAAGCATCCTTCCACTGCTACCCACTGTGTCCTATGACTAAGCCAGTTCTGTATCCATCTTGTCCCTGATACCACGTGACTTCACCTTTTGCAACAGTCTGCCATGAGGGACCTTGTCAAAGGCTTAATTACAGTCCATGTGGACAACATCAACTGCTTTTGCTTCATCAATCATCTTTGCCACCTCCTCAAAAAACTCGATCAAGTGAGTTAGGTACAACCTCCCCCGCACAAACCATGCTATTGCTAATAAGTTCATTTGCTTCTAAATGCGTACAGATCTTACCCCTGACAATCTTCCAATAATTTCCCTGTCACTGACGTGAGGCTCACAAACCTATAATTTCCTGGATTATTCTTGCTACCCTTCTTAAACAATGGGACAACATTGGCTACTCTCCAGTCCTCTAGGAACTCATCTGTGGCCAAAGAGGATACAAAGATGTCTTACCTCCCTCAATATTCTGGGACTGATCCCATTAGGACACAAGGGCTTATCTATCTTAATACTTTTTAAGACGCACGACACCTCTTCCTTTTTAATAGCAACTTGGCTTAGAAATTCAACACTCCCTTCCCTGAGATCATCCTCCATTAATTCCTTCTCTTTGGTGAATACCAGCATAAAGTATTAGTTTAGGACCTCACCCACCTCTTCTGGCTCCACACATAAGACAAAGGAGGGAATCTGAGTGGGCCAATCTTCTCCATAGCTACCTCCTTGCTTTTTATGTACATATAAAAAGCTTGAAATTCTCCTCAGTCTTGTGTGCTAATGACTTTTCATGAATCCTTTCAGCCCTTCTAATTCCTTATTTGAGTTCTTTCCTATTTATATACTTCAAGGACTTCGTCAGTTCCCATCCTCCAAGATCTTACGTATGCTTCCTTTTTCTTTTTGACCAAGGCCTTAACATCCCTGGTCATCCGAGGTTCATGTAACTTCCCATACATATCCTTCATTCTCGCAGGATCAAGTGCCATTTGAAATACTCCCACATGTCCCATGTGGATTTACCCTCAAACAGCTGCCTTCAATCAAAATTCTCCAGTTCCTGCCTAATATTGTTGTAGTTCACCTTCACCCAGTTTAACACCTTCACCTGAAGACTGCTGTTATCCCTATCCATGAGTATCTTACAACTCACAGTATTGCAGTCACTACTCCTGAAAAGTTCCCCACTAAAAATTCACTCACCTGCACGGGCTCATTTCCCAAACCCAGGTCCAGTGTAACCACTTCCCTCATTGGACTGTTTACATACTGTGTTAAGAAACCCTCCTGAATTGTCCTTACAAATTCTACCCGATCCAAGCCCCTAGCACGAAGTGAGTCCCAGTCAATGTAGGGGGAAGTTAAAATCACCCACAACAAGAACCCTGCTGTTTTTCCATCTTTCCAAAATCTGACCATATATTCTCTCCCCTATTTCCTGCTAGCTGTTGGGAGGCCTGTAGTATACCCCCATCATTGTGATTTCATCTTTCCTATTCCTGAAATCTACCTATATTGCCTCGCCTCACGAGTCCTCTGATGTACTTGTTGACTTCCTTATTTTCCCTTCACTTGAACATGTTGAATGCTTGTAATGATACTTTTTCACACCCCTTCCACTTTTCACAAATTTTCAGTCTTGAACAATCAGCTAAGTCTCAGGTAGCAGCACTTGCCAAAATCATAAGTTTGGGCCCAATCTAAGGGCAGAGTTGTGATCATGATGCAATGTTCCCATTAGCGGAAGAAGTAGGCACTACTTCCGCTCTCGCATTTTGCCAGTTCCTGCACGATTATAACAAAAACTTTAAAATGCAAGGGAATCCAGTGTGATCACATGGTAGGGGAAGCTTCTTTGGTGAAATGCATTATCAGCCGACAATGCAATGGGTATGGTTATAAAAGAGTCACAGAGATCAGCACAGAAAAAGATCCTTCAGCCCATTGTATCTGCACTGATCAGAAACAACCACCGAACTATCCTAGTCCCATTCTATAGCCCTTGCCATGGCAATGCAAGTGCACATCAAATACTTCTTAAATACTATGGGGGTTTCTGCCTCTACCACACTTACAGGCAGAGTGTTCCAGAATCCCACCACCATCTGGATGAAAAGTTTCTTCCTCACATCTCTGAAACCTCTGCCCCTTGTCTTTAATCCATGGACACTGGCCACTGATCAATGGAAAAGTTTTTTCTTATCTACTCTATATATATGCCCCTCATAATTTTATGTATTTCAGTCATGACCGCTCTCAATCACCTCTGCTCTAAGGAAAACACTCCAGTCTGTCCAATCTCATTTCGTAACAGTCTTCAAATTAGCCTGCTAGACAAGCAGAGAACCCAGGAAATTCAGAACACAAAGTCGGCACTGGTCTATTTCAAATTTATTTTTCACTTGTCTATATTTCATTTATTAATTTCACTTTATTCATGAACACGTCATTTTAATTTGCTGACACTAGCTTAGTCGGAAAAGCTAAATTCATATCTCATGGTTTACACATATGCAAGATTACAGCAGAGTTAGGGACATACATATCTGTTGTCTGGAAGAAACGTGTTGCATTTTCATAGTCACTTTTTCACTCACTAATGTGAACATTAATGTCCAATGGTCCCCAGCTTAATTAATTCTTGTAAAGAGAATAACTAGCTTAATCTAAAGAGATGTCATGATAGCAGACCTGAGATCTGTGGTGTGATCCTCTTGCGCAATGTGGGAAATAAGGACAGACACATTCCAGTGTCCCTGATGACTACGTGTGCAAGAAGTGTGTCCACCTGCAGCTACAGACTCACCACTTTTCAGAGCTGGAGCTGTGCGTGAACGCACTAGGGTGTATCCATGATGCTGAGAATGTTGTGGATAGCACAATTAGCAAGGTGGTCACACCACAGGTGAGGGTTACACAGGCAGAAAGGGAATAAGTGACCACCAGACAAAGGAAAAGGCTCAGGAAGAAAGTGCAGGAGTCCCCTATGGTCATCCTCATCTCAAACAGATATGTCCCTTTGGATATCTTTGGGGAGGAATGGCCTCTTGGGAGACAACAGCATGAGCCAAGTTTATGGCACCACAGGTGGCTCTGCTGCACAGAAGGAGAGGAAAACGAACTGCAGGGTTATAGCAATAGGAGATTCAACAGTAAGGGGTAAGGATAGGCACTTCTGTGGCCACAGATGTGAATTCAAGATGTTATGTTGACCCCCTGGTGCCAGGATCAGGGATGTCATGGAGCAGCTGCAGGACCCTCTGGAGCAAGAGGATGAACAACCAGTGAC